TGTTGAAACGCTACCTGGTCGTGGCAGAAAGAAGATGCTGACTTCGACTGCTGTGCGCTACCTGAAGCGTAGAGTGGAGAGAAGTCCCCCGTGTGACTGCTGAGGAACTGAGAAAAGATTTGTCAGATGTGGGTACAGAATTTTCAGCCCAGACAATAAGACGCACACTGCGTAATGAAGGCCAGAACTCCCAGGCGTACCCCCTTGCTGTCTCCAAAGAATAAGAAGAGTCGACTGCAGTATGCCAAAAGCCATGTGGGGACAAACCACAAAAGTTTGTGGGATAGTGTTCTGTGGACTGATGACAACAAATAGAACTGTTTGGGCCCATGGATCAACGCTATGTTTGGAGGAGGAAGAACAAGGCCATGGCCCTTGCCTACTGTGAAGCATGGTGGAGGGTCAATCATGCTTTGGGGCTGTTTTGCTTCTGCAGGTACAGGGAAGCTTGGTGCAAGGTACCATGAATTCTCTTCAGTACCAGGAGATATTGGATGGAAACGTATGCAGTCCGTCACACACCTGAGGCTTGGGAGACGTTGGACCTTTCAACAGGACAATGATCCCAAGCATACTCCAAGTCCACTAGAGCATGGTTGCAGAGGAAAGGCTGGAACATTTTGGAGTGGCCATCGCAGCACCAGACTTAAATCCGATTGAGAACCTCTGGTGTGGGACTTAAAGAAAGCAGTTCTTGCAGTGCGCAAGCCTAAGAATGATGACTGAACTGGAGGCCTTTGCCCATGAAGAATGGGCGAAGATACCCGTAGATCGCTGCAAGGACACTTGTGTCAAGCTATGCTTCACGTTTAAAAGCTGGTATAACTGTAAAAGGAATGTACTAAGGTGAATGGGGGTTTTGAATAAAAACTGAAATGCTGTGAGCACAGAAAAGACATTTGTGGTCATTAGTTATGTTATATTTGTCTGGTGCCTCATGTAAATGTAAGCAAGATGACTGAATGATCAAAAGCAATGTCAAACTGGCCAAAACATCAATTTCAGGGTTAATAATTTTGGTCACAACTGTAAGTTTTGGGCAGGGATGGACTGATAACTCATGGGACCCCCCCGGGCAATAGGGGATCATGGGGCCCCTGTGTCCTCGGCCACACTCAAAAAAGCCTATGAAAAAGGTACCAGGGGCATCTCATGGGACCCCCTACTGACCCCAGGCCCTCACGCAGTGCTTGAGTTTCCAAATGGTCAGTCCACCCGGTTTTGGGTGAAGTCGACCTTAAGCAACTAGGTACCTGCATGGGTTAAGCAAGGTATAGAATGGTATAGAAGAAAAGCCAGTAGGTAGGCTGTGTATGCTGAGTCATATCAGATGGAACACTTTCCCACATGACTGAGTTATAGGTTTATTGCATGATACTCTGGTGTAAAAAGTGAAGGCCTGTTTATCATATCACATATCTGCCACCTGTCTTCCATCCCACAGGAATACTGCACAATCACTGAAGGCGATAACCTAATTGATTGGGTTAATCAACTGATCAAACAGAAATCTATGGACATGAGCAAAAGCTGTAAGAAGAAAAAAAGGATTCTTTATGCATGCACTTAACCTTTGTCATGGCGGCATAAACTAAGAGCTGTGTCAGTATTTCTGGTATATCTGGGGACTGAACGTAAACAACATGGTACAATTCTGGAAACTGCCATCATAAAATATTTTAAGCGGCAAGGAAGAGTAAAATAACATAAAAATGTCTTTCGATGTGATATCTGAGAGTAATTCAGGATTTATGACACCTTAACCTTTAGAATCCAAAATATTAAGCCATGTTTCTTAGCGATAATAACTTGGTTGTCCTCACTTATGTGTCTTAGATAAAAGCCTACTGCCACAGAATCCATGAATGCTCAAATACCCTGGCGGGCCTTTAGTAGTAAATCTTATAGAATAGCTTATGGCCAATATAATGGGCCTCAGTAGCCTGCGAATATCATGAATTCTAATATTACTTACATCAGTAGAAACATGAAGTAATGTCTCCATTGTAATTAAATGATGTATTTAGAGGCAGCGCTCTAAATGGTCCCCTAGTGTGCTGGTGATATATTCTAATAGTCTTCTTTTTACGGCCCCACAAGGTAATATTCATGTTTTATTCTTGAGGGTTTTCGGGCTTGCTCGAGGAGATTTGAATTGCAGCATTAAGTGGCAAAGGGCGTTTTAGGAGAGCTTTATGAAAATAGGTGCAGATCGAGAACTCACAGATATAAACATAAAATAATCATAACCTCCTCCCAAAAATTGGTTATGAAAATTTTTTTACTAGCTGCAATTTTCCAGTTCAGATTTGTTACATTTACGAAACTCGATTGTTAGTTTCTGGAACAGGAAAATAGAATTTTAACATTCACAGGGAATCTTTAATTTTTGTTAAAGGAAAACATTCAGTCTTGTTAATTAATATAAGCTGCTACATAAGACATTATGTAGTCTAAAGTAGATCAGGTACAAGTCATAATCTCAAGATGTCAGTTATATGGCCACATTTATGCCCTTTTTATACCTCTGAGCATGTGTGCAGTTCAGCACCCTTCTCCCACTGAAATCATGATTATAGTACCCACCCACATTTTGTTGCCTGAGTCACCTCTTGTCCCCCAGCCTTCTGATTGGACGATCAAGAAACAGTATTAAATCAATGAGAGTATCTCTGTGCTCTTTCCTATAAGTATATTCAGGGATGACTAGCAAGTACTATGCAAAGCAGTAGAGACCTGAATTGTGTCAGATTCCTGCATGTATGTAACTTTCAGACTTTCAGATTGGGTAGTAAAACAGTGGCAATACAATGATAAATTGTGAATTCTGATCCCTCTATTTCATTCTTCTGACAGCACATGTGGGCAAAGAAGAGTCTGATTGGTTTCAAGTGCTGGCCCTCTCGCTCAGTCTAAGTGCTGCTGTGCAGTGGATTTCAGTAGGCTGACATGAAGAAAGAACCATGTACAAATGGTACCATTTCTTCTTCACAACTGATTTTTTTTTTTTAGCTTTACAAAGTCTAATGCTGATGCACACCAAAAGACAGACACAAAACTACCAAAAACACTCTATGTAGGTGTGCTATTAGTTTATCTCCCTACAGCTCTATTGACTTAGTATAAAACTCATGAGAAATGTGGCAGCTACTGTTGCTAATTTGGTTTTTAAAGGTACCATTTCAGGGGCCATCATCCCAAGGACTGAGGAGGTCATTTCTGGGCTTTCTTTTTTTGTAGGCATGTTCTTTGGATGCATATGTAAATGCAGGAAACTTAATTGGCCCCAAATACTCCCTCTCTCTTAGAAGCCCAAAGCCAAATTTAGATAATTATACTAGTTACATTTAAAATGCATTTATTGATTTGTAATAAACACAGAAATACATACACTAGTGTTTTTCATTTAAAAAAATACTCTTGGGAAAAGGGTGGACAATGCTCCAAAATGAATAGACTAGGCAACAGGCGTACACAACTCTCTCCACTCACAGCTCCACCGGGCATGTGCACGATGGGTCCAACTTAGCAGAGGATCTGAAGTTTCGGTGTTTCATCAAGAATTGACTTATCTTGCCAGGGGCTGCATCCTGACAGCGGGTTACTGAGGACTTTTATCTATCCATTAGAAGAGAAGGCATATGAAAGCCAGTACAATCATGTGTGCACCTTTCATATGTGCGGGTTTCTGGTTACTCAGGTGAAATCTAAGAGAGGTGCAGCCACTAGTCTACACCTGAATTTCATTCTTTGATAACTCTATATTTAGAGCCATTGAGAGAGTAAGGCTGGCCATACATTATACAATTTTCTTGAGATTTTTGGTTTAGATTTACCAAAAAGCATATAATAGGAGGTCCTACCTAACAACACTTTCAATTGTATCCAATTAGGAAGGCTCTTGCACTACATAGTTGAAGGTAAATCTAAAGGAAATTGGGCAGAAATTGGACAGAAAATTGTATAGTAAATAGCCAGGCTTAGTTTAAGGGTTGTGGGGACAGCTGCACTGGTCTGCTTTTGTTAATTGGTTACTGGTGTTTTTAGTAGCTGCTTGAAGTTCCGCTTTAAAATAACACATTTATTAAAAATCATAGTTTGCACACATTTGTACTGTATTACCAGAACTTTTTAAAGCAACATGGTATAAGCTGGAATAAAAGTTGACCAAAAGGAATCCTGATCCCTGGGGTCTATTGTATTACCTTGGTAAACTCTTGTTGCAATGATATTGCTGCACTTACTTGGAAGGCTTACAGTGACCCCAGCTATGGCCACTGTTTATCATCATTATTAAACTCAGTACCTCTTTATAAAAATCAAAGTCTGGGAAATACACTATGGTGTGGGTTGTACCCAGTGTCAGGACTAGGTCATCCAGGGCTCAGGGCAAAAATATCAAACCGTGCCCCTTGAATATATCATTACTATTGGCATATAGAAAACAGGGATTATGATTATATATTTTAAGAAGTGCAATATGTAAAGTACAGTCTAGCATACAGAGTGCAGAGGTCACAAGTGTGTAGTATAAAACAGTAAGATGTGTGTACCCTACATCACAGTGTACAGGGCATGGCGGTCAAGAGAATGTAAAGTACACAGTATGTTACATAATCCTGACTCCAAGCATACAGAGTACAGCACAAAGTGGAATTCAGGAAAATACCCCCTCAACCACTTCCAAAAACCCACCTTTCTCACCTGTACTCCCTTGTCTTACCATTCTCTGCACTTCCTTGTCCTTTGTTCTCCTTTACACTCCCTTGTCCTCCATTCTCCCCTGCATCCACCGTTCTTCTCTACTTTCTTTTGTTTACTGTTTTCCTCTGCACACCCTCAGCCATGTTCTCCTCTGCTCTCCCATGTCCTCTGCTCTCCCATGGCGGCCTCACCTTGGGGGGTATAGAACTGTCCGGACCTTGATCACCTGATGGTGGCACTTTGGTTCCCAGAGTGGAAGGTTGTAGTTCTAGTGTCCATCAGCTGATGTCTCCCAGCAGCCAGCAGATCCGAGCAGGGGTGGACTGACAACTCATGCGGCCCCCAGGCAATAGGGGATCATGGGGCCCCCTGTGTCCTTGCCCAAACTAAAAAAAGCCTATGAAAAAGGTACCAGGGGCATCTCATGGGGCCCCCTACTGACCCCGGGCCCTCGGGCAGTGCCCGAGTTTCCAAATGGTCAGTCCGCCCCTGGATCCGAGTAATCAGTCTTCAACTGATGCTGGCTGTTCGGAGGGTATTTGGCTCCTCCTCTACTATTCCCTGGTGCTTCAGTGTTTTGCTAGCCAGATGCTGCTGCTTTTTGATCCTGAGCTTGAGTCTACTGTTGTCTTGTACCTTTACAGGGTACCTCTTGTACCCTGCTGCTTTGTACCTGCTCCCCTTGTTCCTAATCCCAGTCTTGGTTCCCCCTTTCTAACTGTTCTTTACGTCTCCAGCATTACCCTATTTATCCGTGTTTTGTATATATTGGTTTATCCATTTTTTATATATTGTACATAGGTAATTGCTAATTAGGTTTTCTGTATATATTGGTTTATCCATTTTTGTATATTTTGTATATAGTTAATTGCTAATTATGTTCTCTGTTAATCAGTTTGGTTGCTAGTTAGATACTTTGTCACTGGGGTTGTTCTTTATTTACATTTTCATGTTTGCTGTGTATTCTGTTTGCTGGTGTTTAGTTTGGTTATGTTTCACTGTTAACCACTTCAGCTCTGGAAGGTTTTACTCCCTTTAAGACCAGGCCATTTTTTCCTATCCAGCACTGCACTACTTTATCTGGTAATTGTGTGATCATGCAATGCTGTACCCAAACAAAATTTATTCATCTTTTCACATAAATAGAGCTTCCTTTTGGTGGTATTTGATTACCACTGGGTTTTTTATTTTTTGCTATATAAATTAAAAAAGAAAGAAAATTTGGAAAAAAAACAATAGTTTTTACTTTCTGCTATAAAACATATCCAATAGAAATTTTAAAAATCTAATTTCTTCAGAAATTCTGGCCAAAATGTATTCTTCCACATGTTTTTGAGAATAAAAATTCCAAGTGCATATTGATTGGTTTGCATGAAAGTTATAGCACCTAGAAACTATGGCATATATACTGGAATTGTAATATTTTATTTTATTTTATACTACTAATGGTGGCAATCAGAGACTTATAATGGAAGTGCAGCAGGCAATCTGACACTAACTGATGTTGGGGGGAACTGACTAACTGCCACTGACATCACCAGTGACAATAATACAGTGATCAGTGCTAATACTATACACTGTCACTGTACTAATGACTGGAAAGGGATTAACAACTAGGGTGATCAAGAGGTTAAATATTTGTCTAACTACGTTTAATGTATGTAAAGTCTCCTGATTTTACTACTAGATCTCTTAGTTTTTTTCTGAGAAACTGACAGATCGCTTCCTCTGTACAGAGTTCTGTGTTGTTTACCAACACAAAGCTGTGGGATGTGACTGTACACAGCCGATCAGCTGGTCCCGACTGTGAATCATTGGCAGGATGGGGCGCTCATGCATGTGCCAGAAGCCCGGAAGTAGGCAGTGCTGTACAGGTACGTCTGTTTGCCCGGGGTGGCTGCCCATCTGCAGTACATTGTGGGCACATGGACAGGAACAGGTTAATAAACTTGGTGTTTTGCTAATTGCATGGATTAATTGATGGCCCATTCACTTGTGTCAATTCCTGTGTATTGCATTAATGCATGTGACTTGTACCATGCCCTAAAAAGTGTCAGCCAATATTAGTGAAGGGATGGATGCTGCTAAACCGACCCCAGGAGTCCAATGTTAAGGAATGGCCTCAGCTGCCGTACTGGCCATGCCCTCTGACGCATTTCATGCCGTCCACCGGGGCTTGGTCAGAGAGGCCTGTGACCTCTGTGTCATGTGTCGGGGCAGGGTGAAATGCGTCAGGTGATGTGGCCAGTACGGCAGCTGAGGCCATTCCTTAACATTAGACTCCTGGGGTCAGTTGTGCAGCATCCATCCCTTCACTTGTATTGACTGACATTGGAATTGCTCTGACTCATGCTCCCCACTTCTCACTTGCCAGTGGGGTGATCCTTTCCTTTCCATCCATAGCTTGGAGCGGTGCCATAAGATATACTTTTCACTATACCCTAAAACGTGTTGTGTTTAGGCAGCTCATATTGAGTAGGCTGACAATGCAAATGAGCAGACACAAAAATGGAGATGTTGGCTGACGTATACCACAATGCACAATAGTATGCTACCATATGCTGTAGTGAGCTGCAATCCATGTCCATCAAAGCTGCATTGCCTTAGTGCATCAGGGTATCATTTAAATGACTGGCACCACAAAATGCTAACACATGTAAAGTGTGTTATTGTGCATGTTACGGTGCATTTTACAACACACATTGTGTTTCAGCCCTGCAGTTTATTTAAAACCAATCACAGATGTTTGATAAAAGCTTGAACATAGTAATGCCATTTCAGATGTTTTTTTATTCAATCATTTTTAGAATAAAGCTTTCATTAAATAAATATCTGATCATTCCTATCATGATCATTGTATTATTAACTTGTCACGCGTGTCCCTGGTGGAGAACATGCCAACACACATTGCACAGATATTGTTCACAATTGACATTATCAGGAAGTTCAGGGGAATAATGTGTGGCCAACATTGGAACATGCGTGTGTTGACAGGAAGTGAGTAAGGAGATTGGAGGGGATCAGCAGTAAAATATTTTTTAAAAGATTATTAAAGATGAAAACAGTATTTAGTAAAAAAAAAAAACAAAAACAAAACAGTATAAGTAAAAAAGCTGTGAAAAAAAAATGTTTATGATACTCAATATGGTTACATCTACTTTAAATAATGCCCCCTTGTTATGTTGTAATTTGTAATTGTTCTTTAGCATGAAAGAGGTAGCAGGAAAATCAATGCAGGTAGCCATTGGAGTGTGGTGTCACTTGGAGGGGCTTTGCTACCATCCTAAAAGACTCAGGACATGGTGTGCACCTAGACTGAAAGACTCTGGGTTTTCTGGCAAACATAATGTAATACATAAGGTTTCTTGACCCCAGTATTATCTTTTCTCTGTCTTCCCTTTCTCTTTGCTGTATTCTCTCCCTTTTATCCCTTTTGCTTGAATGTTGCACTCATTTAGGAACAAAGCTGTAAGTGCTCCTGTCCTTGGCTCACATTGGTACTAAAGCAGAGAAATAGGATACTCATAAGGACACCAAAAGTGCCCTACAATGTCCAATGATGCATCTAAGACAGGCCATACATTTTGCAATTTTTTTCTCCTTAAGGAAAGTTGAAGGAAAGAAGATTGCTCGATTCCCCCATCAACAAAGTCAGTGTTGATGGGGAATCCATCCCACGGCGCTATTGTGCTCTGCCGGTGGTGAACACAGGGAGCCTTCCCCACTGACAGAATACAATAATCACTGCTGACGGTTATAGCTGCCGGCAGTGATCAGGTGGAAAAAAAAGGGCTGGTTGTAATGAAGTTGACCAGCCGAACCAAATTAATTTCGATCCATCTATGTCTGGCTTTACACGCAAAAAAAAAAAAGTAAAAAAGAAAACACTTGGGGTATACATGCTATTTAAGAGCTTCAACATTTATTACCTTCAATTTTTTTTTTTGTTTTTTTTGTGGAGTTTAACTTTAACAGCATAACAATAGCAACAAATATTATTCCACTTGTATGGTCAATAAATATTTTTATAAACAACCTGAATACATTGTGCATGGACTGGTTTTGAAATGCATTCACAAGTTTTACAAAGCATAAAAAAGTCATTGGAGGATTATCTGTTGATTATTTCATGATACAAATTGCTAATATATGTTTTAATATTGTATATGCCCCCAGTAGAATCAGAACAATAAAGCAAAAGCTAGGGAAATGAAAGTCCTCGGGCAGAGCTAGAGGCGATTCAGCGCATGCAGCCACAGTAGGAACTGGAGAAGTTAAACATAATGTTTGCCATCCATTTACTGTATGAGTATCTCAGCCAGAGATTTAAGTGAAACAAAAGCAATTTAAATCAAATGATGAATATGTTTTTGGTGAGTAAAACATAGAATAATATAAACAAGCCCTCCAACATTTCCAGAGCTTCTATTGGCAGAGCTGCTAAAAATTCCAAACCTGATCAAAGTATATTTCTACCTCTGCAGCCTAGCTGAGATAACATCTACTTTATATGTGTTACATTTCCCCATATAGTCTGTTATATATATATATAGTAGCCTAAAAATTTTGCAAATTGCTACCTACTTTTTAATTTGTCGAAAAGTTCTATGCAATTTTTACTTTGCTTTCCCCTTTTATGTGTTGTTAAGGAGGGAGCTGTGGAGGTATATTTACCAAATTTAAACCCATCAGTACTGTGCTGGAAGATGTTCATTGTCAGTTGTAAATTAAATGTGAACACTCTTTCATCAATTTTGTCCCTAACACAGTGTTGAATATATCAAGGCCTGGGTGGTACACTGTGACCACTTGGGTACTAGTCTCTTTGGTGGTCAGTGACCTTTAAACTCCCCTATTTTTTTAAAAATAATCTCTTATTACTCTCTTAAACCACCACCTTTAATAAAAATAATCATAATCATTGATGGTCAGTGACACAATCATTGGCATGTGATTAACCCATGAGTGATCAGTCTGCAGTGTGTTGCCTAAAGAGGTAAACCTCAGACATGAAACATGAATGAGGTATATCCCTCTTAGTGATGGACCGAACACCCCCCTGTTCAGTTCACAATTGTACATTTGAACCTAACAATAGTTGAACCTTGAACTTTGAACAGAGGAGACAATGGACTAAGTGGTATCTTACCACATCTGAGTATGCGGTACGATACTGCACAGCTACTAAAAACATTATTTAAGGTTTCAGCTGTCAGCAGGGTTCCCCGCTGACAGCTGAATGTAAAAAAAATTGCTGGTATTGCCCGGCAATTAAGAAATTAAAAAAAAATGTATGGGGGTCCCCCCCCTTCCATACCAAGCCCTTCAGATCTGGTATGGGTTTTAAAGGGGAACCCCCACACCAAAATTTAAAAAAAAAATGTTGTGGGCTCCTCCCCAAAATCCATAGCAGACCCTTATTCGAGCATGCCGCTCGGCAGGTCAGGAAAGAGGAGGGGGGAATGAGCAAGCACCCCCCGAACCATACCAGGGCACATATGCTCAA